TTTATTATTCATTTTTTAATATTTGATATATATTCTTCATTTTTTGCTATTAAAACTTACTTACACTTAATAAAAGCTATTTATTCTTTTTAAATTATAATATTTTTAATTATAAAAGTTAATTTAAAATATTATAGTTCTTTTAATTTATTTGATTTGTTTTCCTTTTTCTTTATATTATGATTTTTAATTTTTCATTCTTTGTTAAATTTATTAATTATTAATTAATCTTATTATTTCATATTTTTTATAAATTTTTCCTCCTAATTAACTATAGTGAAATACCTATATAATTTATATCTTAATAAATTTATAAAATAAAGCTAATTTTTAGAAAGCATAACATATCTTTTTTTTGAAAAAAATGAATTTTGAAAACCTAGGATAGAAAAAAATTCATAAAAAATATTTAAAATTTTAATTTTATAAAATGCAAAAACTGGTATATAAAACTCGCTTTTTGTAAATTTGTATGATATATTTTTTCTTCATTTTTTCCTTTAATTAACTATTTAATGATATATTTTTTCTTCAATATTTAAAAAGTTACAATGAAATTGGTGATGAAGGTGCATCAGGCTTAGGTTCTGCTTTAGCAAATTGCATTAATGTCTCAAATTTGACACTTGATCTTCGGTAAAAACAGTTTTTTTGTTTTGGATTGTGATATTTTTAATTATAAAAACTAATTAAAAACAATAAAGCTCTTTTTTCTTTTTCTTTTTATTGTGCTTGCTTTTTTTTTGTTTTTTCTTTGTTAATTTAGCTCATCATTTTATTTTCAACTTTTGCTTTTATTATTTATTTCTTAATATTTTATATTTTTTCTTCATTTTTTCCTTTAATTAACTATTTAATGATATATTTTTTCTTCAATATTTAAAAAGAAAAAATTAAATTTTTGATGAAGGTGCATCAGGCTTAGGTTTTGCTTTAGCAAATTGCATTAATCTCTCAAATTTGACACTTTACCTTCGGTAAAAACAGTTTATTTGTTTTGGATTGTGATATTTTAAATAATAAAAACTAATTAAAAACAATAAAGCTCTTTTTTCTTTTTCTTTTTATTGTACTTGCTTTTTTTTTGTTTTTTCTTTGTTAATTTAGCTCATCATTTTATTTTCAACTTTTGCTTTTATTATTTATTTCTTATTATTTTATATTTTTTCTTCATTTTTTCCTTTAATTAACTATTTAATGATATATTTTTTCTTCAATATTTAAAAAGTGAAAATAAAATTGGTGCAATGGGTGCATCAGGCTTAGGTTCTGCTTTAGCAAATTGCATTAATCTCTCAAATTTGACACTTGAACTTTCGTAAAAACAGTTTATTTGTTTTGGATTGTGATATTTTTAATTATAAAAACTAATTAAAAACAATAAAGCTCTTTTTTCTTTTTCTTTTTATTGTGCTTGCTTTTTCTTTGTTAATTTAGCTCATCATTTTATTTTCAACTTTTGCTTTTATTATTTATTTCTTATTATTTTATATTTTTTCTTCATTTTTTCCTTTAATTAACTATTTAATGATATATTTTTTCTTCAATATTTAAAAAGTTCGAATAAAATTGGTGATGAAGGTGCATCAGGCTTAGGTTCTGCTTTAGCAAATTGCATTAATCTCTCAAATTTGACACTTGATCTTCGGTAAAAACAGTTTATTTGTTTTGGATTGTGATATTTTAAATTATAAAAACTAATTAAAAACAATAAAGCTCTTTTTTCTTTTTCTTATTATTGTGCTTGCTTTTTCTTTGTTCTTTCTTTGTTAATTTAGCTCATCATTTTATTTTCAACTTTTGCATTTATTATTTATTTCTTATTATTTCATATTTTTTCTTCATTTTTTCCTTTAATTAACTATTTAATGATATATTTTTTCTTCAATATTTAAAAAGTGTAAATTAAATTCGTTCAATGGGTGCATCAGGCTTAGGTTCTGCTTTAGCAAATTGCATTAATCTCTCAAATTTGACACTTGATCTTCGGTAAAAACAGTTTATTTGTTTTGGATTGTGATATTTTAAATTATAAAAACTAATTAAAAACAATAAAGCTCTTTTTTCTTTTTCTTCTTATTGTGCTTGCTTTTTTTTTGTTCTTTCTTTGTTAATTTAGCTCATCATTTTATTTTCAACTTTTGCATTTATTATTTATTTCTTATTATTTCATATTATTTCTTCATTTTTTCCTTTAATTAACTATTTAATGATATATTTTTTCTTCAATATTTAAAAAGTGAAAATTAAATTGGTGATGAAGGTGCATCAGGCGTAGGTTCTGCTTTAGCAAAATGCATTAATCTCTCAAATTTGAGACTTTACCTTGAGTAAAAACAATTTATTTGTTTTGGATTGTGATATTTTAAACTATAAAAATGAATATAAAACAAAAAAGCTCATTGAATTTATTTGATAGCTTTTATTTATTTTATTTTTTTTTCTTTTTTATTCCACTAATATTATTTTATTTATTAATTTAAAGAATAATTTTTAATTTAAAAGTTTATACTATTTTGATAATTATTTTAAAATTTACACAAATTTATTATAAAAGTTTTAACTCAATGAATGAATCATAAAAGTTCAAAGTATTAAAGAAGTTTCTTAAAACAAAAAGATTAGTTGTCTTTGATTTGATAATGATTTAAAATTGGTGAAAAAAGGATGAATAAATATAAAATGTTTGAATAGTATTATATATTTAATTATATAATATTTTGAAAAAGTGTTTTTCACCTAAAATATAGATATATAGATAGATAGATAGATTTTATATTTATAAATATCATTCATATTTATTTTTGTAAGTAAATAAATTATTTATAAAAAATAAAAAAATTAAATTTACTTAAATAAATTAAATCCTCATAAGCAAACCCTCTGGTTTCTCCAAAAATGATCAAATAATTTGAAACTTTTAGTGTTATATTACATTTTATTAAATTATATAAATGCCAAACTTTTATATGCCAGTTATATTTTAATCTTAAATATGATCCTTCAATCATATTTCTATCCTTTTTTTATTTATCATGATTAATTAGATGCCATGATTTAAATAAAACCTCAGGGAGAAATCAAGTTTTACTTTTTATTTAAACTTTAGTGGTCATTTTTTTCATTTTATATTTTTTAAAATCAAAAAATAATTGTTTTTTAAACTATCATTAATTCATTCAGACAATACAAATTTGATTTTTTTATTTAAGAATATTTAGGGTAAATTAATGAATTTAAAAGTCGTTTTTATCACTAAAAACATTAAAAACGGTTTTAATTAAACCAATTATATTCAAAACTTTACAGTAATTATTTTAAATTAATCATTTTAATAATAGAATAAATTTTTAGAAATAGAAAAAATTTAAATATAAGTAATTATAAAAGGTGAAATTTATTTTTGAAGTGAAATATAAAAAAATATAAAAATACAAATTTTTGTCAAACATCTATATTAAGTATTGTTTATTTTAAATCGAAAAAATTATATAATCTACTAAAAATACTTTCCGATTTATTGCATTTAATGTATTTTTTAATCAAAAAGATCATACAAAATGACTTTATCAACTCTGTGAATACCATCTCTATTAGAAAAGATACTATAAATAAGATTATAAATTAATTCGACTCGCTTAGAGTTTTGCCACTAGATACTGCTAAAATGACATAATAGTAAACTAAGCTAATTCCTATTTGTAAAATTAGAGATAAATTTTTACATATTGAACCTTTTTTGAATGTAAATATAACTCCAAAAAAAGCAATTTTCATTAATGAGCTGTTAATTATGGCTATTATTACCTGCTAAATAAGCATATTATAACCTTAGAATAATATTGAAATAACTAATGTGTGTATTGTTTTTAAGTAAAGTAGAGTGAATCTTAATGGACGTGAAAGGATATCATCAAAAATGTAAAAAATACTAAAAAATTTAATGAAAGATGGCTACCTATTTCGCTTTAGGAAGTTACAAATAAACATTGATTTTTTATATTTCGTCTTCATCTTTAATTTCATTTACTTCGGTTTATGAGCTTGTTTGAGTTTTGAATTTTTCAACACTTTTAGAACTTGATTATTATTTAATTATTTCTAATTAATTAGATTCAGCAGCCTTTTCTTCGTTCATTTCAATATTTTGTTCTTAAAATTGTTTTAAGTTTCTTTGGGTTTGTTATATATACAAGTTGAGGAATTTTTATCTTTTTCTTTTTCTATTAAATTAACTACCTTTATTCTAATCAGAAGGTGATAAAATTTATTGATTTTATTATATTTCTGGTTAAATATTTTCATTACTTTTAAATTAATGAGTAAAAGGAAAATTTTGGAATATATCATTATTAATCATTTAAGAATGTTCACAAATATTTTAGTTATTTTCATCGATTTATTATTATTATAATTATTATTATTGTTATCTCTACTCTTTTAATTAATTTTATTATTAGTTATTTAGTTCTTGATTATGAACTTTTTAGTATCTTATTTTTACTGAGTATTTATCTAAGAATTTTCCAATGATAAATAAAAAAATTTAAAAGAATGTGAAACAAATCAATAGCCAAAATACAATATACATATAAAAGTTCTCAAAACTTGCTATATTTTATAATCCTTATTCTCCAAATGCACTCTACAGATTTTTATTTTTTGAGAACATATCATCAATATCTTCAATGATAGTTGTAGGTTTTTAGGATTTACATAAGCAAACGTAATTATTTTAAGTAAATTTAGTGATACTACAATTTTATTTGCTCCAAGATAGATCGCTTTATTAGATGCATGTCATATTATATAACTTACTAGAATTTGCATTATTAAATTAGTAAGCTATAGTAGACTGGTTTAAGGTTGCTTAAGAAGAAGAATTATAAATTTATGGTGATATTAATTCATTCTTAGAGTAAGTGAAGTTTTAACTAATATTTTTGAATTTCTATAAGTATGACTAAAATTCTGAAGTATTTTCATAAATATTTTATTTATAATTATTTATTGAAATACTAAATATGCTAGTTTAATTTTCAGAATTGGTGTCATTTAAAGTTAAAACGTATTTGAATAGATTTTTCTATGTTACTTTATCAGATAAAAGAGTAGACAAGTCACCATTTAGAATGGTTTGTCCTTAGTTTGGTAAACTAATATTTTTAAGCAGATTTCCAATCTAACTTGATATTTTATCATATGACTCAAAATCTTCATAAGAGTTATTACTCTGCAAAGTAACGCTTGAGTTTAAAAATTTAAAAGAATCAACAATATTTTGAATTTAAATATCGTTATTTTGTTGTAAATGACTAAGATTACTACTTTGTATTCTTGAATTAATATTTTGGAGTATTGTTTATAATTAATCAAATATTTTATTTTTCTATGTTGTAATGTTGTTTTATTATGATGAGCTAAAGATTAGTTATGATAACTAAGCAGTTACTTTGTTGGCAAATGTTGACAAAAGAGAAAATTTAGGTATTTAAAGAGACAATTGTTATATATTTTAAATCAGCAAGCTTTCTAAATCATTTAATTGCTATGAAAATTAATTATTTTTACTGATGTCTTCTGCAATAATACTTAAAGCCGCTAGTTGGTTTGTGACTTACTTGTTTGAGCTCTATAAAGCTTATGAAGTGAGTTGACTGACCAGTTTATAATATTCATCAGCTGATTTATTCTAAGTCTGAACCTGTATTATAGAAGAGGTGTTATAAACTCCTAGGTAAGAATCCATAACTTGAACCATAAAAACTAGATTTCCTTGAGGTAGCACTGTTTAAATTGAGTTGTTTATAGTCTAATCTTATATCTATCTTCTTAATATATTCCAAGGAGAAACTAATTCTTGTTGGGCGTCATCTTAACTATTGTAATAGAAGAACTAGTAAGTTAGAGCAAGATCTTCATCTGTACAATTCAACAATTAAATTTAGAAGACAGTTTCGAGGACTACGCCTTATAAGGGATTTATATTTAAGACACAATTCTAAGGGGGAATATTTATTTAAATGCTAATTGTTGGCAAGCTTGGCAGAACAAATAATGAATGGATTATATACAGAAAATCTTATTTAAATTGTTGTCTTTGAGGGATCTATATTTTAAAAATAGTTCCAAATTCTGAATCTAATTTGGAAATAATCAAATTTGATTGCTGCAACCAACTGCATCATTATCATATAAAATAGCTCCTGCATAAGACAAGTAATCAGATGAAATGTTCTCACCATAAATTATTTAAAAATTAAGATCATCATTCAAATTAATTTTTCTGTTTATACTTGTTGTTGTTTATAAAATATTTAATGGGGGAATATTTAATTCTGTGAATATGCAAGTAGTGGTGAAATTTGATTATCTAGTATCTTTTTATCCAATAACTCTAATTTAAATAGCAGTGTATGGCTAAAATGTTTTAGCAGGAAACGAGATATTACTGACACCTTGTTGCAATTAAATCTACTTATTTTAATAATCATAGCAAATATGGTCCTAAGAGGATAGACTAGAACACTTCCAACTAAAGTTGATATTTGAAACTGAATTTTGATCTTAAATCTCATAATCTCTCGAATCTGTATTTAAGACCATTTAATTTTAATAACCTAAAACAAGACTTGAGCCTCCAATAATTTGTAAATACAAATCTGTAATTTAGATATTAACTGAAATATTTTGGGTTGCAGAAATCTTACTATCAGAACTCAAATTCAAAATCAACTATTATTAAAATTGAAAAATAAAAACAAATAGATATATAAATATAATTAATATTACAGCATTTTGAAGAGGTATGTTTGAATTTCTATGCCTTCTCTCTTTAAAATATATAAACTTAAATAACTTGTGCTTGCAAAAAAAAACTTATGGGATTAGATAATAATTCAATATATTATAATTATTCCCATCATTACTTGGATAAAAGATAAAAATTACTATTTAACATTATTTTTATTAAATTTAAGGACATTAATTAATTAATAGAATCTTTTCAAATATGACTAACTTCCCATCTCTAATACCTACTATATTTTTAAGTAAATGTTTTAAATAATAATATTAAGATTTTATAATGAATATTAATTTTATTTTTTTGTGATATCTCTTCATAAAAGCAAATTTATAAATTAATATTTGATAATTACTATATTTATTAATTAATTAAATTCCATAAATTACTACTCAATATTTTTGAAAAAATAAATAAATAATGTAATAGATTAAATAATACAACAAATTAAAAGAAGTAATTATTTATTTTTTTATTAATATCATTTAAATTTTTTTTATTAATAAAAAAGTTTTTAAACTCTTCACTTTAATCTCATTAGGTTCTCCATATTGATCTAAAGTATATTTAAATAAAAATATTTAAAAATTTTTTATTTTAACTTTAAATTTATTTAAAAAAATAATTTTTATAATAGAAATTCTCACACACTATTCATTGATTTCTATTTATACAAAAATTGTCGCTATTTCAACTTAATTTTGATCTCAATTTGGAATTATTTATTATTCATTTTTTATTATTTGATATTTTTTTCTTCATTTTTATGTATTAACATTTACACTTAATAAAAACAATTTTTTTATTTTGGATTGTAATATTTTTAATTATAAAAATTAATTTAAAACATTAAAGCTCTTTTAATTTAATTGATTTCTTTTTCATTTTCTTTTTATTGTGCTTGCTTAATTTTTTTTCTTTCTTTATTAGTTTTACAAATTATTAATTAAATTAATCTTATTTTTTCATATTTTTTCCTTCTAATTAACTAATAAATTAAATATTTTTTATTCAATAAAAAGAAACAAAAAAATTGGTGCGAAAGGTGTATCAGGCTTAGGTTCTGCTTTAGCAAAGTGCATTAATCTCTCAAATTTGACACTTTATCTTTAGTAAAAACAGTTTATTTATTTTTGATTGTGATATTTTTAATTATAAAACGAATTTAAAACAATAAAGCTCATTTTTTTTTTTCTTTTTATTGTGCTTGATTGCTTTTATTTATTTCTTTGTTAATTTAGCTCATCATTTTATTTGTTTTTAACTTTTGCTTTTATTTTTCATTCATTAATCTTATTATTTCATATTTTTTCTTCATTTTTTCCTTCTAAATAACTAATTAATTATTTATTTTTTCTTTAATATTTAAAAAGTAGCAAATATATTGGTGATGAAGGTATATCAGGCTTAGGTTCTGGTTTAGCAAAGTGCATTAATCTCTCAAATTTGAAACTTTATCTTATGTAAAAACAGTTTATTTATTTTTGATTGTGATAGTATTAATTATAAAACGAATTTAAAACAATAAAGCTTTATTTTCCTTTTCTTTTTATTATGCTTGCTAGCTTTTATTTCTTCTTTCTTTGTTAATTTAGCTCATCACTTTATTTATTTTTAACTTTTGCTTTTATTTTTCATTTATTAATCTTATTATTTCATATTTTTTCTTCATTTTTTCCTTCTAAATAACTAATTAATTATTTATTTTTTCTTCAATATTTAAAAAGTTACAATAAAATTGGTGATGAAGGTATATCATGCTTAGGTTCTGCTTTAGCAAAGTGCATTAATCTCTCAAATTTGACACTTGATCTTCGGTAAAAACAGTTTATTTATTTTTGATTGTGATATTTTTAATTATAAAACAAATTTAAAACAATAAAGCTCTATTTTCTTTTTCTTTTTATTATGCTTGCTAGCTTTTATTTCTTCTTTCTTTGTTAATTTAGCTCATCACTTTATTTATTTTTAACTTTTGCTTTTATTTTTCATTCATTAATCTTATTATTTCATATTTTTTCTTCATTTTTTCCTTCTAAATAACTAATTAATTATTTATTTTTTCTTCAATATTTAAAAAGTCAAAATTAAATTGGTGATGAAGGTACATCAGGATTAGGTTCTGCTTTAGCAAAGTGCATTAATCTCTCAAATTTGACACTTTATCTTGGGTAAAAACAATTTATTTATTTTAAATTGTGATTTTTTAATTACAAAACGAATTTAAAACAATAAAGCTTTATTTTCCTTTTCTTTTTATTATTCTTGCTTGTTTTTATTTCTTCTTTCTTTGTTAATTTAGCTCATCATTTTATTTATTTTTAACTTTTGCTTTTATTTTTCATTCATTAATCTTATTATTTCATATTTTTTCTTCATTTTTTCCTTCTAAATAACTAATTAATTATTTATTTTTTCTTCAATATTTAAAAAGTCAAAATTAAATTGGTGATGAAGGTACATCAGGATTAGGTTCTGCTTTAGCAAAGTGCATTAATCTCTCAAATTTGACACTTGATCTTAGGTAAAAACAGTTTATTTATTTTTGATTGTGATAGTATTAATTATAAAACGAATTTAAAACAATAAAGCTCTATTTTCCTTTTCTTTTTATTATGCTTGCTAGTTTTTATTTCTTCTTTCTTTGTTAATTTAGCTCATCATTTTATTTATTTTTAACTTTTGCTTTTATTTTTCATTCATTAATCTTATTATTTCTTATTTTTTCTTCATTTTTTCCTTCTAAATAACTAATTAATTATTTATTTTTTCTTCAATATTTAAAAAGTTACAATAAAATTGGTTATGAAGGTACATCAGGCTTAGGTTCTGCTTTAGCAAAGTGCATTAAT